GAAGGCTGGATGGAGCGGAGGAGAGGGAACATCAGCCCGCGTGGGGGCTCAGGGGGGTCTGCTTCTGCAAGGGGGCTTCACAGGGCGAGCGGGAGGGGGCTGGAATTCGCAAGGAATGGCTCAAGCACTTTCGAAGTGGCTGGGACGGCGTCACCGTACGGCTTTCGGCTTCTTGGCCTTGCTGCGCGCTTTGATCTGGGGTGCAGGGCACGAGGTTGCAGCGTGAGGGACCTGGTGGAGGTCTCTGGGGAGCAGAGTCGTGGGGTAGGCAGGAGCTGGAGGACGTGTGGCCCTCCTGCTCAGTCGGCTCCTGAGAGCCCGTCGGTGCGAGCGGGATGTTAAGCGACAGCTTTGTGCAGAGGAGGGCACGAAGCTTTGCGACCAGGATGAGCTGGGGCTCAGGCCTGCGCTCTCCTGAGTGTTGTTTTTGAGGGTTCCGCTGCGAAGGCTGTGAGCTCCTCTGGGACAGGTGTCTGCCTCTCTTTCCATCCTGGCCTTTCCCTCTGAATCTCCTGCAGTTTGTGGCTTCCAAATGGAAGGCTTTTTTTCCTCACAGATCAACTTGGGAATGCCCCAGCTGGGCTAGTAATGACAATCTTATTGGCAGGTGTTAATCCCACCCCATCACACAGTAAAGAAGAGGTGTCCGTGTTATGTGGCGTGGCATGCTCGTAGGGAATTCAGTTGCAGAAATAGGAATTGGAGAAGACCTAGTTTGTTTCCATTGGCTGATAAAGGATTGTTCCCTTTTCCATAGAGCTCTGTCCTGTATTAAATCAGAGTTGGGCTTTCCTTAGGAAAAAAAAAATCAAATGAGCAGAGACAAAAACAGTTCAGTCATTCAGAGGATAAATTGTGTATTTGGATTAGGCCTAAGAGACACACTTGATCTTGCTTTGGAAGCCTTCAGCTCTTTTTGAGGTAATTGCTCTATTCTTGCTGAAATTTACTCCACATTTTGTAAGTGTAGGGCTTGTCTTCCCCCTCCCACCCCCCGCCTCCCCCTTAATGCCTCAGACATCCTCAGCAACTGGTGACTGAATTGGTACCTGCATGGGCTCCTTTTGGGTGAGGTACTGAAGGGCTGTCAGTTCCTTAGGCTGTTTGCCTCATAGATATAATATCTGGAGTATTAGCTTTAAATTTCTGGTCTTGGTCCTTTGCCTGAAAAATGCCTTGTTTGTTTTTCAGTTCAAAGAAGAGATTTCCAGGCGGTTTAAAGCCAAACAGGATCAGCTGGTTCTGATCTTTGCTGGGAAGATCCTGAAGGATGGAGACACGTTGAATCAACATGGGATCAAAGATGGGCTGACTGTACACTTGGTCATTAAGACTCTGCAGAAGTAAGAAACTGTTTTGTCTTCAGGGGGTGAGGGTAAATGGATGATGCCAGTAAACGATGGTGGAGCATTTCTGCCCTATCGATGACCAAAGCGGAGTACTTGTGCGAGGCCCGAGTGCCGGCTTTGGGGCGTGTGTGGGTCTGGCAGCGGTGATCCGGCAGGAGAGCTCTCCCAGGCTCTCTCCTGGCCGCGGCTTTGCCATGCAGCTGTGGCGTTTATCACTCGGCCTGTCTTTTCCCTAGGTTACACAGCTACATAAGTTTGTGGCAAATACCCGAGGGGGGTTGACTCTTCTTTAACACGACTCGTGTACATGGCTTTGCGTATTTTGAGCCTTTATAATTTAGTAATCTTGAAAGAACCTATTGGAACTTGATACTAGTTCTAACAAAGATAAGTTGCTGTTAACAGAAATTACTTTCCCGATGAATTTGCGTTGAAGTTGAAACTAATACCCAGTTTTTCTTTCGCTTCCTATCACATACTCCGCTCTAAGCCTGTGCTCACGCTCTCTCGGGTGTCATGGGAGGCATGCCGCCCATGCAGAGCACTATCTGTAGGGCAGAACAGCGTTTCTGCGCGGTATCTGTAGGCATGGCTGCATGGGCAGGTGCAGACAGGTGGGTGCTCCACCTTGGTGGCAACGCGCGGAGGCTGGGGCCGGGTGACCACGTGCATGTGGCGGTGCGGTTGTTAGCTGAAGTACAGTGCTGCGGGCACACCCTATGGTAGCTGCCAGTTTGGACACGGCTCACTTGTCTCTGTCTGCGCCACGTAGCTCGGCCTCAGAAAGGGACGCAGGATTGACCACAAACAAGGTCCTGGCAGGGTTAGGCTTTTCCCGATGCTGTCAGATGGAGTGGTGGGCACAGAAGGTTCTTGGGAATGGTTGCTGTGCTTCAGGCGCAGCCACATCTCGGTGATCTCAAAAGCCCCTTCGCAACCATTTCTTGGGCTCCCTGCTGCAGTCTGATCGGGCTCCCAGTAAACTAACGGGGCTGCGTCTCTTTGTGCAGTTCTGCCGTCCCCTGGGAGAGCTGCCTTGCTGGCTTAGTCAAGATTAGTGCTTTTTTCCCCCCACCCCCTCCTCTTTTTTACAAAGACAAGCATGTGTATTGTCAGCTTCTGCAGGAGGCCTCTCTCTGGATTCTGCATCTCCAGGTAGCCTGATAGTCTGATGCTGTTTACCACTGTCTCCACAGCAAGCTGCGGTACTGGTGAACCATTTCGAAGGGTAAACAAGAGAGCTGTCCTGGGTTGCTCATTTTTTTTTCCCATTAATAGTCATAGCTGAGTGCTTACTGAAGACATTGCAGCCTCTTCCTGTGCAGAGAGAAACCAAGTGACCTTTCTCCAGCTTCCTTCTTCCTTTTTTGTTCAGCTTCCTATTTGCTTAGTTTCCTCACTCTCTGCCTCCCTCTCAGCGGCTGCTGGTTTGCAGCAGCAGTCAGGTGAGTCTGGAAAGTGGACAGGGACCTTCAGGTTTGATTTTTCAAGTCCTAAAATAAGAGTGAAAAAGGAAAGGGAGTTAGAGAAAGGAATAATTCTTGGGTTGGAGGGGGTGGAAATCAAGAAATCATTGTTCTTGTTTACTTCTCAGTGGCATAATAGCACTATTTGAGGCGAGTGAAGTGAATTCTGTGGTCTAATTTCATGTGAAAGCTCTTCAGCACTAGTCCAGGACTCGCTGGCATGACTGCAGATGCTTCAGAGAATTTTTAAATGTTCTCTTTCAAATTCCTATAAAAATCCCAAGGAAGAGCTCTGATTACAAGGTACTGGCTGGGCTTGGTTTACTCAATAAAGCTGATGTCCAGCATCTGCTACGCTGTGGCTTGTGGCACAGTGTCCACATGTGTGTATTAAAAGAAGCTCTAGTGAACTTGTGTTGGATGGAGAAGCCATGCATGTGAGGTACAGCCAGTGGCAGAGACGTGAATTCGTAGCCAAGCTGTCCAGAAACGTTCTGTAGCTTCATGGGACAGATGCTAGCTGCCTCGTGCCTCAGTTTCCCTATCTGCAGAGTAATGCTGATACTTGTTTTTGCCTCCAGGAGCACTGATGGGAATATTCAGTGTATGGGAGGATTTGCAGAAAAGCAAATTCTTGTTTACCCCATGCACTAGCCCTGCTGTAACCTCCTGTGGTTTCTGTGGGAGCAGCAGGAGGATTTTCCTGTTTGGAGCAAACTCATTGCTCAAGGATATAGCTGAAGTAAATAGTTCAGTGCGATTCAAGGAAGAGCTAGATACAACTCGGGGCAAGACTAGTCAAGCCACTTCGTGTGGGCCAGGATAAAATGTCAGGGGCTGTTATGCATCAGGACAGGAGGCAGATTCCAGCAGATGGAAGGCATCTGGGAGCACAGCTGCGCATCCATGCAGGCGGGAAGGGAAGCAGCTGGGGCTGGCTGCTGTGGGGACAACAGGCGCAAAGGGAGGCTCGGTCAGCATGGGGTGTGCCGTCCTGTGTCCCCCGCAGAGGACTCTGCTCACCGTTCCTGAATCTCAGGAATTTAATGCCTTCTTTTGTTTCTTTGCAGGGTCCAAGATTCAACATCTGCTTCTGCCCCCAATGCTGCTTCTGCCCCCACTGCAACCCCTTCTTCTCCTGCTGCCCCATCTCAGCCTTCCACATCCAGCAGCGCCGTTTCCGATGCAGGGAGCGGCAGCAGACGGAGCAGTGGGTCAGGGACCATGGGAGGTCCTGGAGATGGAGGCCCTAACAGTGCTACATCCATCCTGTGTAAGTGATGGCTGTGAGAAGGTGTGACACGGAAGAAGAATTTCCTAGGATTAGACCAAGGAGTCCAAGGAGACCAGGGGTTCTTGACCCCTGTAGTTGTCTCTGCTTGCTGTAGGCTTTGCATGAGTCGCTTCCACCGGCATACCTCGCTTTCCTTGCTCAGGATAATGTCAAAGCCTTGAGGGAAGCACACAGGGGGTGTCCTCCCTCAGAGCTGGCTGCCATAGGAATAGAGGATACCCCTAGATTAGCGTGGGTGCAGTTCAGCTGATGTGCTTGTCCTCTTTTTGCAGCTGCTGACAGTTACTGACTCACGCCTCTCTCCCCGTGTGTTGTTCCCTCTCCAGCTGGCTTTGGCGGCATCACTGGGCTGGGCAATCTTGGGATGGGCTCTGCCAACTTCATGGAGCTCCAGCAGCAGATGCAGCGGCAGCTGATGTCCAACCCAGAGATGCTTTCTCAGATCATGGAGAATCCGTTGGTGCAGAACATGATGTCTAACCCCGACCTCATGAGACAGATGATCATGGCCAATCCCCAGATGCAGCAGCTCATGGAGCGAAATCCGGAGATAAGCCACATGCTGAATAACCCGGAGCTCATGAGGCAGGTGAGTCAGCACACCAGGGCTTGTTTAAAGCGTGTTCAAGAGCATCTTTGTGGACCAGCCTCAGTGTCTGCTCTCCAAAGGGAGTGTGTGAATGCCAGATCGGTGCTTTTAGAGAGCTCTTCCTTCCTGCTGTAAGCTCCCCACAAACAGATGGTGGTCTTGAGTTATGTGAATACTGATTACTCAACCCACATACTTGCAACTCTTATCTCCCTTTCAGGGCTATTGACTCCATCATGTGTTGGGCAAAAAAGGATGCTGGGATCATCCTAGTGTGCTGCGTACAAGGCTACTGTGTTCTGATTCAGGAATGGGAGTAAAAGCAGTCATGGAGAAGTGAAGCTACTGCAAAAGCTTTTTGTTTCTCTCTATCTCTCTTGATAGATTAAGTATAGACTACAGAGCTGTACAGTTAATATTTTACTACCTGTATCAGTGGAGAGCACTGGTCACAGCCTGGGATCCTAGAGGTCTCGATTTTTGGAGAGGACCCATGCCCTAGAGGACTGGCTGTCTGGAAGACCAAAGGTTCATCGGAAGGGAAGCATGAGGGATGAGTGAGAGACTGAGTGTTAAGTAGCCTGTGACAGGACTCTGCTGTTCCCCCAGGAAGACTTGTCAGGAGGTTTTTCTGGGTTGTTGCAGAATGAGCCTAGTTTCCATCTGCTTCTCAGTTATCTTTCTTTCAACTGTTTTGGCCATACATGAAATACCAGAGCTGCAGGACTACATTGTGAATGATCCGTACTTAAGCAGCTCCTCAAATGAGATCTCGATGTTCCTTGTGCAGGGGAGACCCATCAGAAGTCTGGAGAGGGTGAATTTCTTGGTTTTCTTAAAATGGGAAGGATCCAATCTCTTCCACCTTCTCAGTTTTTGAATGCAGTCCATCTACTTTGAGTGGGAACATATGGGTGTTAAATGTTTGGATGTCCTGATACTGCTTAGAAACAAAACAATCTCATCCAGCTGAATTGAGGTTGAGAAGGAAGAGAGCTGAGCAAGGATGGGAGGAGCCAGGATCCCTGGGCTCTCTTTGCTTGGATAAATGATCTCTCTGCTCTCTGGCTGTGAAACGGGTTTAATTATACTCTTTCTTCTGGGAGCTGAGATTTAACTCTTTCCGTGCTTGGCTGCTAGATCAGTAGAATACCACTGGGCTGCTAACCAGTCTCTTCATCCACTCCGGTCTTCCATGGTGCACATGGGCCTGAGCTTTCCACATTTTCCTTCTTCTCCCAGACAATGGAATTAGCTCGTAACCCTGCCATGATGCAGGAGATGATGCGGAACCAGGACCGTGCTTTGAGTAACCTCGAGAGCATTCCAGGAGGATACAACGCCCTGCGCCGGATGTACACGGACATCCAGGAGCCCATGTTTAGTGCGGCCAGGGAGCAGGTATTGGCTGCGTTCCTGTAAGTGGGGTGTAGCGTGCTGAACATGGGAAAGGGGTCTTTCCCCGACCCCCCCTGCTAACGGGGCAGCCTTCCCAAAGCATGGGTCTTCATCCCCCTCCCGCTCTAGCTGATGAATGCAGCCGCTAGCAGGAGAACGTTGTGCAGTGCCTGTCATCTGCTTTTATTACATGGTTTGGTGTATCCCAGCAGAGACCTGCCCTCGCTCCTTTGGTCTCCAAGCAGGCTGGATGCCAGCCATCGCCGATGCGAAGGCCCCATCGCTTCGTTAGCACAGCCCTCTGCTCTCAGCCCAGCTTACTGTATTAGCTCAAGCCTGACGCCTTTGGATTGGAGCTGGCCGAGATCCAGCTGGCTTGAAGCACAAGAGGAGTGAGCGCAGGTCTGTCTGCAAAAGGCTGTGCAGACATACTCCAGTCTAGCATTACCTACTGGTATGTCCGGGTGTTGATTTTACATGGATGTTTTGAAGCCCTGCATTTGGGAGCCAAATCTAGGGCTGTGGCCACTTCTTGAGCCTGGTCTTTTTCTGAGCGAGGTGTGTTGTGGATTACAGATTTCTCGGGAGGCAAATTACGTTTAGCAAATTCTGGTTCTGGATGAATACGATCGGCTGTTCCTAGCTCGTACACTGGTGGGGTTAGTCCAACGTTCTCTGCTGGGGCTAACAGATTACAGCTATTTCTTTTTTTCTTTTTCCCTAGTTTGGCAACAATCCTTTCTCTTCCTTGACGGGGAATTCTGATAGCTCAAGCTCTCAGCCTTTGCGGACAGAGAACAGAGAGCCGTTACCGAACCCCTGGAGCCCCACGCCCCCTGCTTCCCAGAGCCAGGCGCCCAGCAGTGAAGGGAGCACGGGCTCCGCAACCACCCAAAGCACACCGACCGTATCCAACCCCTTTGGGCTGAATGCTGCTAGCATTGGGGCTGGTACGTAAGCAAGAGAGGAACCGGAGGGTGCTACTGACTGAACAGGTCACCCCGGCTTCCTTGGAGGGTGGTTCCCTCTGGCATTTGAGTGCCCATCCGTGGCTGCTCTCCAGGTGAATGATTCTAGCCCAGTTGCAAGCACAAATGGGTTCTTCCTTGTGTGCCTGTCGGAGGGTTACTCTGGGAACGCTGGTGTCCCTGCTGCAGTCCTCGAGAGCATGGGAGAGTGGCAAGCAGAGCACTGCCGTGGCTGTCCACAGCGATATTTGCTGTTGGCTAGGGGATGAAGTAAAGGCATTGCTGTATTTCAGGCATTGCAGCAGTGCTCGGGCTGGTAAGGTATTTTCCTTTGTCTTCTCTTCTCTTTCCCCTTGCAGGCATGTTTAACAGCCCAGAGATGCAAGGACTCCTGCAGCAGATTTCTGAAAACCCTCAGCTGATGCAGAACATGATCTCTGCCCCTTATATGCGGAGCATGATGCAGACTCTTGCCCAGAACCCAGACTTTGCAGCACAGGTAAAAGCGTTGCAGTTGTCTTCTGTTGTCAGACAGGCCGTGAGCACAACGCTTGTGAGACCAGTCTGCTTCTAGAGTTGGAGTGGTTCCTCTCGCAGAAACCGGAGAGCTGAGTGGATATAGAGAGTTTTGTTGTATTTCTCGGTAGCTCGAAGGCAGTCACGGTACTGAACCCTGTGTCTTAGCAGAGCCCCTAACGAAAAAGGTGGCTTTCAGAGGGACATGGGACTGGCCCTTCTCTTTGCCCATGGCCGAGTGGCCCCTGTTCAACACTGCTGCCAGGAATTGAGCTGTCCTGTTTCAGTCCCCGTTAGCAGGGGAACAGGTTGAAAGCCCAGGGAGGGAGTCAGGGGCATGACTGACTTGTTCTTCGTGGCTTAGTTACGTAGGGTATAACGGCCAGTGGCAGCAACCCTCTGACCCTACCTACGTGTGCTGTCTCTTGCTAGATCATGGTAAATGTCCCCCTCTTTGCTGGGAATCCACAGCTTCAAGAACAGCTCCGCCTTCAGCTCCCTGTCTTCCTGCAGCAGGTAAAGGCCCCTGTCTGGCCCTGTGCTGCTCTCAGCCCCCGGGCTCCAGAGCTTTTCCATCCTCTGTAGGAAAGGGAGTATCTCCGCTGCTTAGTCAAGTGGACTAGGAAGTATGTGGGCTTGGGTGGCTTGGGCTGTGAAAGAAAGGGGTTTGCACAGGGCAGAGAGAAAGGAAGAGCTTGTTTAGACAAGGCAAGTAATCCTAAAGGTGGACTTCGAATTAGACTAGTTAAGCTACGTGGAAACCCCTGCATGGACGGTCTCTCACTGTAATGAGTTTACAAAAATTAAAATAGCTAATTGTGCTAGAGCAGCTGGTTCACCCAGGTAAATCAAATAAAATCACTTTAATTCCAAAGGCATGTGCCCCCAGTTCTAATCTGATTCACCTAGTTCATTTAGGAAATTCGATCTGAACTCTCTGAGTGTCTGTAGGTGAGCCCTGCAGTCTGGAGACTTGAAGGAGGAACCAGACTCACAGGTTCACTCTGGCTGCAGGGCGAGAGGCCCAGCTCTGTGCCGACTGGCGTTCAGATGTAAAGCTGGTGGATCTCTGGCTGCTGAAGCTCTCGCTGTTTGGTACCGCTATGTCTTTTTGCCTTTGTTCCCAGATGCAGAACCCAGACTCCCTCTCCATTCTCACCAACCCCCGCGCCATGCAGGCGCTCCTCCAGATCCAGCAGGGACTCCAGACGCTGCAAACGGAGGCCCCAGGACTAGTGCCAAGGTAATAAGCGCTTGAGAGTGGGTTTCTGCAGGCAGAGCTGACATGCTTGATACCAGCAGGCAGACTAGCTGTTGATTCATCGAGGAGATCTGCTTAGGGCCCTCTGTCATGGGGGCTTCTGCATATGCGCATGCCTGCAGGCTTCTGTGAGCTCCAGCTAATTAGCACTTTCTGGTGGTTTGTACTTCATGCGGGAAGTCCTTGACCCTTTCTTTTTGGAGAAAAGGTTTGGAAACCACTTGGTCCCTCCCCCATGAATACCATGCCGTATTCAGTATTGGCTGAAGTCAAGAATTTTATCTCTGGAGAACAGTATGCAATGCACAGCCGCAAGGATATTAGGAGAAATTTCTTTACTGAAAGAGTGGCCAAGCATTGGACCAGGCTGCCCAGAGAGGTGGGGGAGTCCCCATCCCTGGAGGGGTTCAAAACACGGGCAGAGGTGGCACTGGGGGCCATGGTTTAGTGGGCATGGGGATGTTGGGCTGACGGTTGGACTGATGATCTTAGAGCTCCTTTCTAACCTTAATGATTCCTAGTTTTACTCTGATTCAAAAATAATCCAGCCACCAAGCCAGGAAAGATGAAATTATTCCTCTGCCCTTAATTGGCTTAGTGGTGGACTTGGCAGTGTTAGGTTAATGGTTGGACTGGGTGATCTTAAAGGTCTTTTCCAACCTCAACGATTCCATGATTCTAAGGTTGGATGGGTGCGTTGGGGTACCAACGTACGTTGAGGGGTACGTTGAGTCTGCTGCTCTGCAGGCAGCCCTCAGGCCTTCTGCTCTCTGGCAGTGTGGGTCACGTTCAGTCTCTGCAGTCCCTTTCAGGCCCGCGCCTCTGTTAGGATTGCTTATTCCCAGCACCGTGTGTGACCAGGATACAAACGCAGCTGGTTTAATTTACAAAGCTGTCCTGTAGTACGGGCCTCAGCGGGGGCCAGCCTGGCAGAGCCCGCTGGTTACCGTGCTGCCCAGCTCTCGGGGGACACCCAGAAGTGCCAGCTTGCTTCTGAGCACACCCTGCCTTCCTCTGCAGCCTCGGCTCCTTCGGCATGCCTCGAATGCCCCCGTCCTCCACAGGAGGAAGCACAATCCCGGAGAACCCTGTTCCCTCCGCTTCGACGCCGGCCAGTGCCTCTCCAGCTGGGGGTGGTAACCCCCAACAGCAGCTCATGCAGCAGATGATCCAGCTGCTGGCCGGAGGAAGCTCTCAAGTACGTAATGCCCAGCTGCATGCTGATACGCTTCTGGGGAGGGACATCTCCAGGGTGAACTAGATCCCGATCCCACCCCACTCGAGGAATGTGGTCCCCAACAGGTTTCTCTTGGCCACGGTGCTTTAAAATTTGCTCTCTCAGGCTGGCTAGTTCTTCGGGGTGTAGTAACCCTTTGCACAGGTTTGAAGCTAAGAGTGCCAGGGATCCTTCTCCCAGCGCTGCCGTCACCGTAGGTACCAAACTCGGACTAACTGTGTGCAGCGTGGCTGCTGTGCCAAAGCCCGTGGCCATGTGGGGAGGTGGGTAACGTCACTAAACAAGCCTGGAGTATTTCGGTACGCCTAAAGTTGAGCTTGGGGTCCCTGCCCAGCCGTTGTTGCTGGCCCTGCCCGCTGCCTGCCTGACTCTAAGGTCTTTGTCCTTTCCCTCTGTAGGCGCAGAGTCCTGAAGTGCGATTCCAACAGCAGCTGGAGCAGCTGAACGCCATGGGCTTCATCAATCGTGAGGCTAACCTCCAGGCGCTTATTGCCACTGGTGGAGACATCAATGCAGCTATTGAGAGACTGCTGGGCTCCCAGCCTTCCTAAACTCTTGTCATGCTGCCCCACAGGCATCAGCACATGCATCCATACACATGCACAGGGGGATCTTTCAGGAAAGCCCACCATCATTTTCATATCTGACAGCTGTCCATGTATTTAAAACAAAAAGATACAGCTTAACCCCTGACCTTCCTACTAAGTTAAGATTTCATGTTGAAATGCTCTTTAACTGGCTTGTATGTGGATTCCAGTTCTCATCGTGGCCACAGAGACTTCAGATGTGTATTTTTTCCTAAATATGCCCTCTGTCTCAGACACTCTTCTCTCTCTCTCTAGATGGTAGAGGCGATACTGCTAGTTACTTACCTGAATGATTGTGTTTTGAGTAGCTTGATTTTAACTGTACATGATTCCCTCCCCTAGCCCTCCTTTCAGGCAAATATTTAAAACTTGAGCCAAGTTTGGGTTTTGGTTATTTTTCCCAGCATCTTATTGGGAATGGATCAAAAGAAAAATTGAACTGACCTGGAAATTTCTGATGTCATTTGTCTTAATGTTCCATTGGATGAACTGAGCCTGTGTCCCTTGCACACAGGTGCCTCTGATCTCCTGGTAGAGGGTTAACTTCTTCAAACTACGTTTGAAGTATGGCCTCTTTACACTCTTGGGATGGTGTAAAGGAGCCTAGATGCCTTCAGGGATCAGGCTTGCTGTTCTTGAGCTTGAGCTGAAAGTGCTGTGCAGAAGAACGTGTTCGAAAGGTGTGTTTCTGCCTAAGCAATTTAGTTCTTGCGCGGTGGTGTCAGGGGTTTGTTGACTCTTGGGCTCAGTAGGCTCATTCCTGAAAGTTTAAAAACAAAAAAGGAAATTGAAAAATAAGTTAACGATCTTTTCGCTTCACTGGAAAATGTTGAAGTTCATGTTCTTCCCAGTTTAGATCCATCCTCCACCCCGCCCCCCCTCCATTTTGGTGTGTTTGAATGTTATGACTCTCCAAGAAACTCCCCGAGGACCAGCAGGGTGATATTTCCCAAGAGCCTCCATGGCTATGTAATTTGCATACCATTTTTATCAAAGAAAAATAAATGCGCACAACCATCTGTCTCCCTGCACTCCATGTATCTTCCTTGATTGCCACATTTAAGCTGATTGAGTTCCCCTAGTTACTGGTGATTCTGTCTTGTCCCCCGTGCTTACCTCTCGCAGATAGTTTGGGGTGCTGTGCGATCTCCCCACTGGGCCGGGCTTCCTTCCCTCCTGTGGCAGGAAACCTTTTTGACACTTAAGTACTTAAATGCTGCTGAAGCCTTGCCCAAAACGTGGCCCTAAACATGCCCGTTGGGAAGCTTCCTTTGAATTAGGGACTCGCAAGTATGTGTAGGACAAGCTAACAGCTTGGTAGTTCTGCTGTATTTGGATGACCTGATCTATACGATCTATAAGAAGATCTATAAGAAGTCTGTAAAAAGATCTATAAAGTCTGTAAGAAGCCGGCTGGTTCTTCTGCCGCGCCCAGGGGTGTTCGCTTGCAGCTGGACGGTGCCGATGCCTGGGGGATCCGTGGGCAGCTCTGTGCGCGGTGGATTTTACCCCTGCTTTTCTGTAGCAAGTGCCGTGCTTGCTGTTAGCTGGGTGTTAGTATTCTGGTTTGGGGTTTTTGGTTTTTGGGGGGTGTTCTTTGGGTTTTTTACGGTGTCTTTTGGTAGGGGAGGATTGGATAGTGAGAGGGAATGGGAGGAATCCCAGCGCTGCTTTCTTGTATACCTGTAAAACCTGCTGCACCCAGCTTGCTTCTGAGTCTGAGATGGGATCTATCAATACCCTGTGTTGTTGGAGAGCGTAGGTGGAGCAGTGGTTGCTTGAGAAAACACAGGAGTGCATGCGGGCTGGAAATGCTCCGGCCTTTGTGTATGTGCATCATGACGAGACTGGGGTTTTTTAGATGAGAATTCAGAAAGCCTAGCTTTAATCTCTTCTCTTGGAGGCTCTGCACATACATGTGGATTTCTTTTTGCGACCTCTCCTCAAATGTAAAAAGCATTTGCAAAGAGTTGTGTAAGGATGGGTACTGAAGTTCCTGATTGCGCTGGCAGGGTCAGAGTTCTTTCCTGTCATCGCTAATCGGCCCCTCTGCAGCTAAAAACGGGCTTAGAAAAAGGCCTGTGTGGTCCTTTGTGCTCTCTTGGATTTGGCAGATGTCCTTTGCCTGCGCTAAGGTCTGTTTATCTCTGCAAAGGCTCTGTCCCCATGCAAGCCAGCTCTTGCAAAGAATGCGCTTGTGGGAGGATGGGGTAACTAGGTAAGGGAGAGCAGAGCAGGCAGCTGGAAGGAGAGGTGGTGCCGCTGGGTTGTCGGGAGTGGAGACGTACCCCCATCTTTGCGATAAGGTTGTGCTCTGCATTTGAACCTCTTCGAAAAGCAAAACTAGTCCCAAAGCCTGTTGTTTCTGGCCAGCCAGAAACGGTCCTTCCAGCTTCTTCCTCGGCGTTGGCAAGATGTGCGCATGTGGCGTAAGTCGCACCGACGCGAGGGATCTGCGTGCGTGTGAGGGGAGCTGGCGTGCTGCGTGCTGGCAGGACGGAACTTTCTGACCTGTCCCTCCGCTTCTGCCGTAGGAGGGACTTGGAGGGGCGGCGAGAGGTGGTCCAGTGAGTCCAAAGCAATGAGCCTGCTGAGAGGGAAGGCTCCCGCAAGGCTGCGGCTGCCGTCGCTGTCTCGGCTTGGACCGGCGCGGTGGAGCAGAGTTGGTGATGCTTCAGCATCGCTGAGATGAGCTGAGCCACGCAGAAGCTGGCTGCTCAGTGCCTGCGAGCAAAGCTGGCTGGAAATACCTGCGTGGTGGAGGGATCCTGCTGGCAGCGTAGGCAGACTGCTGTGAATTATTGAGGAGAATTAATGTGCTTCTTGTAGGAGTTCTTGTTAGGATTTTTTTATTTTTTCTTAAGCTGAGGTCCTGCTTTTCCGGAGAGGGCTCTGGACCATGGCGAGTGCGTGGAAGCCGTTCTCCAATGCTTCCCGTAGAAGGAGGGTGACGATCGTCATCTCTCTGGGGGAGAAGCGAGGAGGGGGGAAACACTGAGTCTTCACAGGCCTTTCAGTCTTCAGCGTCTCTCTGCTTGTTGAAGCAGGAGAACATATTTCTCCTGTCTCTCTACGTCGCAGCATCCACTCTTGTGTCAGTTTGAGATCATTCCTCACCTGCTGCCAGCCCACCAGCCAAGGTGCTAAAATAAAGATAACAGGGCAGCCTGCTATCTCGGCTTGCAGCCTCTGTTTGCATCTGATGTTCATCTACCAGCTCTCCAGCTTCCCCTGGGGCAATTTGGCAAAGCTGCCGCCCTCCGCGCTCTCCTCCTCGCTGCTCCGGAGGGGCTTTGCCGTGCTTGTGTGGAGCAGCTGGATGGATTCGTGGCTTTGGCTTTGGCACTGAAGCGATGCAGGGGGGAGCAGCCGCTTCCCCCCGAGGGGAAGGGGATGAGCTCGGGGTGATGCTTTGCGGCTTTTACCAACCCCTTGGCCCTTACAGGAGTTATTTCCCCCAAGGCTGTGTGAAGCACTGTCTCTTTGGCGGGCTTTGCAGGCTCTTCCCTGTAGCTGATGCTCTGGTCCTCTTTATTCCTCAGGGAGCAGAAAAGTGTCGTGATCCGCCCACGCGCTGGGACGAAGTGCTGAGCTGGGAGCTCTGCCCTGCACCTGCCTGGGGACTCTCAGCTCTGGGCAGGGTAAGTGGGAGCAGCAGTGTTCCCCTCGTCTCAAAATGGGGGAGAAAAGCTGGGAGGGAAGGGCTGGTGGCTTCCCCAGCACCGCTGGCAGGGGCCGCAGGGTGGGACGCAGCGGGGCTGCGATGGATGCAGCCGCCCCAGCCCTGGCTTTGGGGTCTCGCCTTTGGTCAGGCCAGGCTTGGGAGGAAAAGGCGGCTTTGAAGACTGGTGAGAAGGGAGCTTTTTAGCGAAACGTTAATCCCCTCCAGAGAGCTTTCCCTAATCCTCGGTAATGTGCTGTTCAAAAGCCCTTTTTCAAAGGAACAATCGCACTTTCTCGCTGTTGTATCTCTCCTTCCCTGAGGAATCGCTCGAAGGTGTTCCTTGCTGACTGTTTCCTCTCGTTTTTCTCTGATAAATAGAATTAATTCCTTTAAAATGTAACGGAAGGACCAATTTCCTCAGCAGGTAGTGGCATATCTGGCTGATTGATTTGGAGAGATTTCTCCTGTCAAGGACTTATTTTCACTTCATTCCTCCCCCCTCCCTGGAGGAGAACCGCAGCCTTTTCCCCCAATAACAGAGTGTAACGCTTTCAACTTTGAAATCAAACCTCTTCAGGGTGGAGGAGGGAGATACTGCAGGAAACGGAACATCTCCATTTCTTTCAAGAAACCGTTTTTGGTTACTAAGGTCCCTGGCCACGACATGGGCTGTTTCCTGTGGCCACAGCCCTGATTATGGGGGTGCGCGTGCAGACTGCTGCTGTTAAAACTTAGTGATTTCTGAACGTGCTGCAAGAGGGGGGTCAGCAGGGAAATATCCCAGGGTTAGGAGGTCGTGCAGTGGGATAGCTTGGAAAAAATACATACGTGTGTGTATGTGTGTGTATATATATGTATATTGAACTGTTGCAGCATCTTCTTTGCTCAGCCACAGGAGCCGTAAGGAAGGCCTAGGGGTAGAGCAGGATCAGTGATGCTCCTTGGCCTCTCCGCTCAATTCTGCAGCATTTCAGGGCAGAAACCCATGATTTAGAGAGCGGCTGGGGACACTGCCAGCTCGCCCGGCTGCCTGCTAGCAGGACGTGACCACATCACATATTCAGGTCCATATTCACGTTGCTTTGACTTGGTTTATTTTTAATTTCTCCAGCAAGTTGATACCTTGTTCCCTGCAGCTGCCCGCCCCGTCCTGGCCGCGTTTCACCAGGGTTTGCCCGTGGGTGCAGCGTTCCCAGCTTTGCGGGGTCGGCTATGCTGGAGCTGGCGGTGCCCAACCGGCGTGGAGCCTGTGCCCGGGGCAGGGTGGAGACTGGGATTTGTTGTTTGCTCCCCTTGACATTGGAAACAACAAAATCACAAGTCTTCCAGCCTGCCCCGGGGCTGAAGGACGTGCGGGTGGTGAAGGGGCATCCAGAGAGCCTCGCCGGAGCTGCCCTGGGGAGAGAAAAAGGGAGAGGGACAGCGTTTGGGCACCTGCCCTTCCCTCTGGCTCTGCGCGTGCCTCCACGTGGCCCCGTGTAGGGTGAGCTTGGGTCTGGCGGATGCACCCATGGGTGCTCAAGGGGGCTGTGTCACCCACGAAACCCAGCAGGTTTCTAATGTGCGCTGGGAGAGGGTCTGGGGTGCCAGAGGGGCTTCGCAGCCC